CTCCAATCCCAAGACCCAGAATTTGAGGGTATAGAAGACAGACACAAAATGAGGGCAAAGCTGCCATGTCCCCCCCCCCTCTGCTTTAGCTACATTGGGTATTTGCAGCCCATGTCAGTGCACTTAGAAAAGCAACTTCTAAGTTTGTTTTTGTATGGCTTATTCTTAAGGTGGTACCTTGTCTGCAGAGCTGAGTCACCTTTCAAATTCTATGCAGTAAAAGTTGCTGCCTGACCATGAATTGGATTTTCCTTACTTCCAACATGAAACTCTCAGCTGTCTACTTACCATGGGTGTGGCCCTCTATCTCTTGGTCCCAAGTGATGTAATCCAGGCCTAGGGTCCCCGTAACTCTACTTAGGGAAAAGGTTCACAGTGCAGAACAGGCATTTTTCTTTTTTTTTTCTTCTTCTTACTTACATACTTGAGACAGACATGGTAGCTGGTACACCCCTGTCACTTAGCACTCGGGAGGCAAAGGCAGGTGAATCTCTGAGTTTGAGGCCAGCCTGGTCTCAAGTTCCAGGACAGCCAGGGCTATACAGAGAAATGCTGTCTCAAAAAACCAAAAAACAACAAAAAAGTCATTAAAAACAATTTTGGAAGCCTGGCATGTGTGCAAATGCCTATGATCCCAGCACTCAGGAGGAAAGGGCAGGAAGACTGTAAGTTTGATGTCAGCCTGGGCTACACAGTGAGTTTCAGGTGAGTTTGAGAAAAAAAAAAAAAACAGTGTGTGATGGGACATGCCTGAATTATTAGTACTCCTCTGCAGAACTAGGAAGATCAGGAATTCAAGGTTATATCATGTTATATAGCAACTTCCAGGCTAGCCTAGGTTATATGAGACTCTGTCTCAAAACAAAACAACACACCCTGCCAACTTCTTTTGATTCTGAAGATCAAATCTGGACACTTGCACTTTGCTTCTGCTTCCTTCCTGCTGGGATCAAAGACATGTGCTACCACTGTCCGTCTGGCACGTGTACATCTTAACCACATGTGCTTCTTACTGGACCCTTCCCACCAGGTTCCCTCCATTGTGAGCATCTTACTTCTTTAGGTGCTAGAGCTGCTACAACAAAATACTGGAAGCTCAACCCAGGACAAGCCTGGGAAGAAGGAAGGAGGACATGAAGTGGAACTTCCCCAGTAGGCCCAACTTCAAAGGGACTAGGTTCTTTAGAACTGACAGCTCTGGGATGAACTCAGGGCAGGGCTGACTGGGTGCCCCACAAACTTCTGGTGTAGGCTGGGACAGCATTAATGGGGGGGACCCAGCCCAGATCAGTTCTCAGTGTTTTGGGTCCTCTGTCTGAGCAGACAGCTGAGCTAATGCTGCAGTGTGCTGAGAGGCGCCTCCAAGAGGAGAAGTCCATGAAAGAGCTGGTGGAGCAGGTCATTGAGGCCCAGAAGAATGTCAAGGTGGCCCAGATGAAGCTTGTGAAGGGCCGGCAGCAGATAGGTACCAAAGGAAGTCAGATTCCACAAGGCCTGCCCTATTCCTTTACATCCTTCTCAACTACCAAATAAGCTACTTTGGTTAGTGAGGGGTGGTGTCGCTGGAGGGTGGGCTAGGACTGAGCAGGGGCCAAGGTCTGGAGAAAATACTCCTGGAGGACATAGCCCCTGTCTATTGTCCACCAGGCCATTCACTGTCCTCATCAGCACCCCACTTGGTTCCCAAGTTCAGGAGGTGATGGAAGAGAGCCGGGAGCTGCTGCAGCGTAGCACAGAGGCAGCCAAAGAGGAACAGAGGCAGCGATGTAAGCTCATTGCCCAGCTTCGTGCACTGGAGACACAGCCCACACGAAAGGACAAGCTGGTAGACCTGACCCAGGTGAGACTGTAGCTTCTCGAGGCTTCAACTTCAGGGTACCTCCTTGTGTGGTACAGTGTGCACAGATTTCCCATGAAGGCCAAAGGTGGGTCTTGTCCTACCCACAATCCCCTAGTTACCTGGGTACCACCAGCTGTGGATGGATTCAGGTTAAGGTACATGCTGCAGCAAGACAGTGAGTTTCTCTGTGACCTTTCGACTAACCTTGATGATATAGTACCAACCACAGACCAAAAAAAAAAAAAAAAACAATTCCACCCTAATCTAAACAAGTGAGCCAGTGATTTTATTGAGACTACATATAGGAGCATGGTAAAGGGCTAATTATGGAGGCATAGAGGACTCATAGGTGAATTTACCAAAAAGTTCACCCCAGTATAAGGGACTACTCAGAAAAGCTGCACCCTAGGAGCGCCCTGAATAATTTGCAGGCAGCTCAGCCTGCTATTGTTTGAGAGCCTTTTCCTGAGTAAATGCAACACACATCTACTTGCCACAGAAAGGGAACCCAGGACACACCAAAGTCCAACCTGGTGAAACAATGGATTATTACTGGGGCTCCTAACAGCAGTATGTGTGAGGTGTTAATTACAGACACTGGGATGGCTCAGAAGCAGTTGTCACTGAAAAGCCTACCCCAACACAGAGGACAGCTCATGAAAGTTGCATCCCAAGAGCTCTCTGTACCATTTGCAGGCATCTTGACAGGCCTGAGAATCTCCTCCAAAACTTCTACTGGTCAGTCTCCTCCCCAGTGATTGTTACTCATTTTATAAAGCTGGGGAGAGGACCTTGAGTCTCATGAACCTTAACCCCCCCCCCACCTACCCTCCTGGACTGGATTGTTCCCTTTGAAAGAAATTGTTAGTCAGCACTTGTCTAAGAGTTTTCTCTTTTCAGCAACTGTCATTGCTATACAATCATGGCCACCAAGGCCTGTGAATCCTGTAACTTTCTGAGCTTCCTGAGCCTTAAAGTTTCCTTTGCTTCCTGAGTCCTAGGAGTCTCCCTCTTATCTGCACGATGAAATGTTTTTATTTGGAGGAAAGAACTACCCATCAGAGCTGGATCTCTGAAGGGGAGAGAGAGCTAAACTGCCTGGAGGTAGCCATTTGGGGAACTGCATTTTTGAAGGGTGAGGTTCCTGGACTCTCCAGACCCAAAATGGAAAGGGGAGTAAGGAACACCCGAGTTAAAAGTCCAGTGCCAGAGAAAACCAAGGGCTAAGGGAGGATTGGGCAGCAGCCTGTATGAGAAAGCAGAGGAGAGAGAAATTCAACGGTGCAAGGTGGCAGGACTTGGGGGCTTTTGCAGTTGACTGCTAGATCTCACCTAGCCCAAGGAGACAAGGAACACCCAGCTGAGAAGTTCACCTCTACTGTAGGGCTCCAGGTTGGAGCTGCTGATGGAGGTTACACAGGCAGATTGAAGCAGAGGAAAGGTCTTCTTGGATGAGGGGCAACTGGCTTTACAGCTGCTAGCTTAAGGTCTTCCCTGTTATTTGGAAGATCCCAGGATATGGTCTAGAAGGCGAGATGTCTGTGGTAGAACTTCGAGAAAGGCTAGCCCTGCTTAAAGACACACAGAAAAGAGAGAAAGAGGAAAAACGGGATCAAATCATCCAGGGCAAACGAGCCAAAAGCCGAAAGCTACACAACACAATGGAGCAAATCTCACTGTGCCGTGCAGCCATGGGCAGAACTGCAGCCTTGAGGTGAGTACCAAACGTGGAAGGAGCAAAGGAGCGGGAAGCCTGCTAAGAACCTTCCTCAGTGGGTACCCTTGACACACCAGCAGCCCTTGCCGAACAATCCTTTATAGTAATTCTAACCATTTTTATTTTATTGGAGAATTATCAGTTCTGGGGCAATGGTTTTGATGCCCATGCGTCATGCAATGCATCAATGTCACAAGGACCTTCATGTCATACATGCTTCACCTAGCTAGCTAACTAACTAGTTAGCTAGTTAGCTGGATGTTTACCAGTCTTCAAAGCCAAATAGAAATAGTTGCAGACAACATATACTTCACTCCTGAGCAATGTAGTGTGTATTTTTCTTTTCTTTTTTTTTAAATGCTGCCCTACATAAACCACAACACCATGATACAACTAGCAAAAGTAACCAAAATTCTCAACATCATTTAAATATCCTGTCTGCATTCTCACTTCTCCAAGTGTCCCAAGACTGTTAAGACTTTTAAAATACTGTTTGCTGTTTTTCTTTGTAAGCCACTATCTAGGTCACACATAGTTGTGTGTGCATATATGCACACACACACACACACACACACACACACACACACACACACACACACACCCCTTTTATGTTTGAGAACGTCTTTTCCAGGCCAGTGTCCGATGGCAGCCAGGTGGGTCACAACTGCTCCAAGGGAGGTGGTAACTAGGCCTATTACAATGGAACACACTGGTCTCTAGAGAAAATGCCTTCATGTTAATGGGAAGGGGTGGCCAGAAGAAGGACCCTAACTCATTGCCAGTGGAAGAGAATATATCACTCCTGGTTCTGAGCAGCTGCTGCCCTGGCCACAATTCAGAGGAAGCAATGCCACTGCAGCCTACTCAGAAAGGGCTAGCTGGCCACAATTATAGAGTGGCACATGTCTCAGGAACCACATCACTTCCCAGCTGCTAGCCTCATCCTTGAAGACCCCAAATTCATTAGCTGATGTCGGAGTACCTCTCAAGGTTCAACTCTGGTAATAATGTTCTTGGACCCCACCCCTGTTACTGCAGCCAGCCTCTATGGCAGGAATTTAATGAGAGGATTTTTGTAGGGTAACAGGGCCAGAACAGTTGGGCAAGAGCTAAAACGTAAGGAGAACACGTGTTCATGCCCCATGCAGGCAGCAAGACCTACAAATGGACAGGAAAAATGGCCCATATTAAGAAGGGGATGTGCAGAAATGCTGTCACCTGGGCCCAATTCTATGTTAGAATGCAACTTTTCTTTTTTTAACATTAAAAGATTAAAAGGGGCCTGGCAGTGGTGGCGCACGCCTTTAGTCCCAGCACTCGGGAGGCAGAGGCAGGCCGATCTCTGTGAGCTCGAGACCAGCCTGGTCTACAAAGTGAGTTCCAGGACCAGCCAGGCCTGTTACATAGAGAAGCCCTGTCTCGAAAAACCAAAAAAGTGTTCACTTCGGCATCACATATACAAAAAAAAAAAAAAAAAAAGGAACGATACAGAGAAGATTAGCATGGTCCCTAGGCAAGGATGACATGCAAATTCGTGAAGTGTTTTTTTAAAAAGGAGAAAAAGGAAAAGAAAGAGAAAAACAAACAAAATATTAAAAGGGTAAGGGGTGCTGGCAGGATCCCACAAGAACCCTCCTGGGTGTCGCCCAGCCAGCTTCTAAGCCATTGCTGTCGTTGTACAGGTGGGAGGAAAAGAAGGCCCAGGCGGCAAGCCTGGGTACACCTTCTCGGGACGAGCGCGTGTTGGAGCTGCAGCGCAGAATGGAGGAGAGGGCAGCTGAGCGCCGTAGGCAGACAGCACAGCTGCAGGAGCCATCGCCCCGGGTCATGCGCCCCCAGATGCGGGTGAGCTGGAGGGAAGCGAGGGCAACCTTTTGGATTTGAGGGGTAGGGGTCTGTTAGAGCATGAGGGAGCTGATGTCTGGGCGCCTGGGTGTATGTGTGACCCAACACCTCCCCAACCTCCCGCTGGCAGGCTCAGGCGGAGGCGCAGCACTGGCTGGAAATGGACCGGAGTCGAGAAC